CTTGTGGGCTTGGGCAGCATTGGGTTGGGATGTTTTCGTGATGCACATTTTCTTTGCATAAAACTCTCTCTTATATGTGAGTTGCTGTGGATTTGTTTCTCCAAAGTACCTAGACTAATACACTAGTAAACCCCATAATCAGACTGCCTGAGTTCTGTGTGGCCATTACGATAAATCATCAGAGAACTCGAGGGCTGTGCCTGACCCCCACTTCACAGGAATCAGCTCTGGGCTGATGTTCTCCCCCGTCATCAACCAAGAGGTCAGATGACCCCAGCGCAGCATTGTTCAAGTCCTAATCACAAAACTTCTTCCAATTCAACTTTCAGCAGGTGCACAACTTATAGATAGAAAGTACGAACCAGATGTGGAAGCCTAACTCTCGCCAGTGTGATTTTCTTTCATCTCTTTCAGCTTCACCACGAAGTCCTTCACCTCTTTGGGTAGATTTACTCCGAGGTATTTCACTCCCTTAGATGCCGGTGTAATTGGGACGGTTTCGCTCGCCTCCCTTTCAGGCCTCTCATCGCTGTGCACAGAAACCAGGTGATTTGGTTTGTTGGCCTTATCCCGCCAGCGTTGCTTGATTTCTCCCTGAGCCCCCTGAAGATTTCCTGTGGACCCTTTCTAATCTCGATACGCTCTATTCCTTTTTCTTATTGCTCAGGCTAGGACTTCTGATACAATATTCAAACTCAGTAGAAGTGAGGGGAGCGGGCACACGCTTGTCTCAGTCCTGATTTCAATGAGAAAGCGCTCTCAGGCTTTCTTTATCAAACAAACTGTTGACTTTTCATATATGCCCTGTATCGTATGAAAGAACTGTCCTTCTATCCCAATCTTCTTTAGGGTTTTACATCCAGAAAGGATGCTGGACTTTAACAAATGGCTTCTTCTAACTCAGAAACGTTCGTGTGGTTCTTTCCCTTTGTCCTCCGGATGGAGTGAGAGATTGTCTAGTGTTGGACATGACCCTTTAAAACCGTGGTGAAGCTCCCTCTACTGTATCCATTTGTTGACAAACAATCCGTTAAACAGCACATCATGCACAGGACTGTAGGATTAACTTGGCCAGACAGTCACTCTCCAGGCTGAAGAGAAACCTTTCGGTCACAGATCTCAACCACTGAGGAGCTGTTTGAGCTCACCCTGAAGGGTCCAGACAGCCCACATCCGGCCTTCACCTCACGGCTCCCACGTGTGGACACTGGGGCCTGCATTGGCGACACAGTTCCTAAGCTGGCTCACTGTGCCGCCCTGGGCCTACCTTCTTCCTCTGATAAGTGGTAGTAATTCTTACACACAGGAAAACAGCCACTTTAGTTTCTTTTGGACAATTTCAGTTGCAAGTAGACCCACTGGGGTAAATTTAAGCTTAAAAAAGACTGGGCAAGAAAGAACAGAAATTCAGACCCAGCCCGCTTCCCCTCTGCCCTAGATCACATCCAGCGAAGCTCCCTGAATTTCCCACCATCCCTGCCTCACCCTGACCTCCTCTGTTCCCAGGTGCCACATTCTAGCTCAGCTGTGAATAGTACTACTACTAATCAAGGCTTTGAGGACAGGGCACTGACCCGGATAAAGGTTGCGTAAGAGACCCCAGTGCAGGTCATTCGTCTGCAGTAGCTTCGATCTGGTGACAAGGTGGCCTGGGACCAGATGGTGCTACACGTCCCAGGGCTCCCTCTGCCCCTGCCAATCTCCCTTGGCACCCTTGGTAACATCTCTTGCTCTTCCTAAGCACCCAGTGGCTTCTGCCTGCTCTCTGACCCACCCTTGCCTTTTTCACCGTCAGCAAGTCTCTGAGGTTAGTGCTGAGTGATTTATCACTTCTTTTTAGTCAGCTCGTTCTTCAGAAAAAGGCTAGGCCTTTGAGAAAGGCCAGTCACTGGTCAAGCAGTAGGGATGAAGTACTTTAAGAGGATTGGGGGGGGGGGGGCGCGCGGCAGCAAGGGGGACACCTTTTCTTTGGCCTTGAAATCGCAGCACGCCTACTTTGGTCTTTTCAGAGTCTTGAGTATGATTTGGGGGTGAATGGAGTGCTTTATCCTCTGAGGAGGACCCCTGTAAAATGCTGGCAGCTCCGGTTACGTCCACGTGTGCTTGTGAGGGGTCGAGTCCAATCTGTCAATCAGGTCACCGATGAGTGGTACTTCTGCGATACGTGGCCTTTTCATAGGAGACACCCTGGGGGCCCCTCTCCCTCTCTCAGACCCTTTGCCCTTTCTGCTTGCTGGGACTCTGTGTCTGCCTGGGGGCAGCCCCATCGGGCCCCTGACCCTGGGAGCCGCTGGGAGCTGTGGGTGCCCTGTTCCCACCGACCTTGGAGCTACCCGGCTCTGCACCCAGCAGCCTGTGGTTCCTGCACCCTGCTTAAGTTTCTGCGTCCCTGGCCTGAAGCTGCCTGGTGTGAAGAGGGCCCTGGCTGGCAGCAGGCTTGTGAGTGGAGTCGCACTGGCCTGGGCTGCCGTCTGGGTGCACAATGACTCTTCGTGTGACGGTCTTCCTTACACCCAGAGGAGGGCCACAGCTTTGGTTTCTCTGGACAACCCGGTCTAACACAAAACCCCCGAGATGGTTTTTGCAGTAACAAAAGGGCACATGTCAAAGAGTCAGGCCCCTCTTCGCTGCAGGTGCAGGCAAGGCGTGCCCCACTCTGCAGCCCCCATTTGCCACAATGCCAGCACCATTCCATGCCCTTCCGGCCCACACAAATTCAAGGTACAGAACCATCCTTACACTGAGTGGGGTTGCTCCCCTGCCTCGACTCACCGCCCGTGCCCAGGGATCTCCTTCAGGGGGGCCCGTGCGTGACCCCCTACTGGGGGGGAGGAGTGAGGATCAGCTGTGAGTGCTGTCCCCCCCCCCCATCACTCAGGTGAGAAGACGGGGGATGGGACAGGGAAGGGGCGGCATGGTAGCCAGGGAGAGCCAGGTGCTGAGGGCTGGTGTCTGGCTGCGCCTGAAGGGGGTCATAGCACGATGATGACGAAGATGATGGCAGAACAGTACAGGTGCCAGAGGAACACATCCACACTGCTGGGGGCGGGGGCGGGGCGGGGGCGAAAATCGGAACCAATCAGTGAGACGAGGAGTTAAAGACTGTTTGGCTCCACAAGACTAATACTAATTACAGTCATTCGAACTAACTGCTTAGCATCTGTGCTAATTACCATGCAGCTCTGTGAGGAGGTGTGCAATTAGCCCGGATCCACTGTGTGCTGAGTGGTCACAGCAATCACAGGCACGGCGGCTCTTTAGTGTGCCGTGAAGGCAGCCGGGTCTCGATCCCCCAGGGTGGAGCGGTGAGAAACGGTGATGGCGGACACGCGTCTCAATGCTCACGCATTAAATTCCCACCAAAGCCCCTGGCCACATCACCTGCACCGCCGCCTGCCCGCCGTTTCGCCAAAAGGGTAGCTCACATGACCCGAGGGTTTGCCCTGGAGGAGGGCACCGAGACGGGGTGGGAGCCAGGCTGCCTGGCTGGGTCTTGACCACTCCATTACTCTGTGCCCCCCCCCCACCACCACCCTCCCTCCCACCCTCACCTGAGTAGCTGCTGGAAGGAAGCGAATTCTCTGGTCCCCCATTGAGTTCTGGGGCTCCTTCAGTCTCTGCCACTTCCTCTTTCTCCTCCTCCGCGCGGACCTCAGGGGCTTCCTCCGGTGGTTGCTCCATGGCTGACTCCCCCTCGGCGCCGCGCCTGCAGGCCCGGTCATAGCTCTGGCATCATCTGGACCCCCACAGGGCAGTTCCCATCAGCCTGGGCAAAGGAGACCACAAAGAGGGGGTGAGGAGGGAGAGGGGGACGGGGCTGCCACGCCCTCATCAAGGGGCTCCTCTGTGAACCGGAGCCCGTGCTCCCATGGTCTCGCCCCCTGGATTACAGCCACTTCCCCTTTCCCCTCTGCCACTGGCTCTGCTGGCAGGCTGGCGCCCTGGTGGCGCAGTGGGTACATGTTGGGTTGCTAACTGCAAGGTCCGTAGATGGGAGAACAAGGAGGTGTTCCATCTTGTGAAGGGTGAGTCATGGAAACCCCCAGGGGCAGTTCTACCCTATCCTGCAGGTCCTCTGTGGGTCAGAATGGGCTGGAGGGCAGGGAGTTTGTCTTGAGTCTGAGGGCAGTTGGTAGGGTTTAGGGCAGTCTATGACTGAGCCACATCTCAAGCCTCCAGGAGCCACATCATAAGGGCTTAAGTAATGTCTTCAAACTCTCCAACCATCCTGGAGGCTCTGAAATCCATCACCTCCCAAGCCCGACTGGTCCCACCAGCCTCCAGGCCCAGTGGAGAGCCACCATCCTGACAGGCGTGGGTCTCATCCTTTCTGTGCCTGGTGTCTGGTGGTGCACATGGTTGATTATAATTGACTGTTAATCTAAAGGTTGGAGGTTCGAGCTCACCCAGAGGCACCTTGAAAGGAAGGCGTGGCAATTTGCTTCTCAAAAAGCAGCCTTTGGAAAACCCCCTTCTCAAAGTTCTCCTCTAATACGGAGGTGCCATGAGTGGGAATTGACTCAATAGCAAGGGTTTGGGCCCTGGGTTCATTTTTTCATTCTCTGCTGCTGGTGCATGCGTGAGTGTGTGTGTGTGCACGTGCGTGTGTGCGTGCGTGAGAGAGAGAATTCTATACACAACCAAACAACACTTCAACAAGTTCCACAATTCAGTGACACCGATTTTATTCAAACTGTACACTTTTCCTGACATGTTCTCCACACGTATCACCATCAACTCAAACTCACTGTCCCCTAAGCTTGTCGTCGACTCTATAAAGTTGCTGTTGTCAGTCTGAGCACATAGAGATACTTCTCTAGAAGAGTATTATGCTTTGAACACATTCCTTTCTACTTAGGCAAAACTATTATTTAGTTCAAAGATCACTTGGGGGGTAATTTTGCTTCAAAGTGTACAGATCTCCACAGGGTAATGGTTTCGGGGGCTTCAAGGGCTCGAGGGGTCTGGATTCTGTGAGACTGAAAGCTGGGCTCACATGTGCAACAAGATCCTCAGGGGTACCACCAAGCAAGGGGATCATTCCCTGGCTCTGGGAGAGTTCTGGATTTGGGGCCAGGGCCCTGGAACCCATGCCCATGCCTCTCCCCAGTCCAGAGTCCTCTTAGCGAGGCCAGCTGTGGGGGGCGGCAGCACTGTTGTTTGAAACCCACGCATACATACATCTCTTATTCTGCTTCTATTTAGACTGAGCAGCCTCGCTCAGCCCAGCCTTTTCAAAAGCTATCCATTGACACACTGCCAAATGTGAGGCCGGCTAGGGTCTGTCCATGCACCCAGCAGCAAGGCTGCCCAACCCTGACCAATGTCCTCAGCCGCTGGGAACAACCCTGACCCACTAGGTCCACCCACTGGACCAAGGCCCACAGCCAGCTGACACCTCACCCCACTATCCCTGAAATAAACCCTCCTCGCCACTGCCTCTTCAGTAATGGCACTAAAAATAGCACATGCACCCACCAGGTCTCATTTTTATGTGGCTCTGACTACCTGGTCTCCCCTATCTGCTGGAGACGGCCACCTTCCTTCCCCACAGCTCTGAGCTAGAGCCAGGAACCCCTAATCTTGCCACACCCTGGGCCCTGACGAGGCTGGCTCTGGCTTCAGGTGGAGCACGGAGCCCTGCAGCCAGGATGAGGGCTGCCTGCTGCTGCTTCTCGGCCGAAAGAATGTCCTGCGAGACAAATTCCTGGACCCTTAGAGTTTGGCACGCATGTGTATATGTGTGTTCCTTTATATGTATACAAGCACACATAAGCCTATAGCACATGTGCACTGGTACCCACTCTCTTGCTCCTGGAAGCAGCACGGGTCTTGGGGGAGTCAAGGGGCACGGCTTTGCCCATTTCCCAATAGGCAGCCAAACTTCCTGTGCTGAGGTAGCTTGGACTGTCTGAGTTCTGAGAGGCCTTGCCCGGGGCCAGTGCAAACAAGCCACGCAAAGTCCTACTACTTCCGGTCACGAAGCCTACTTCCATCAGCTGAATCGTCTTTTCAGGCAGGAGCAGGAGGTGGCTCATTTTCAGAGCACTTCAAGAGGATGCAAGAAGTGGAGATGCCATCGGGGGACACTGTGTGTGTGTGTGTGTGTGTGGGCATATGTATGCTAAAGGGGGCCAATGTGTGTGCGCTGAGGACAGCCAGTGGGTTTGAACCGCAGACCTTGCAGCTAGCAGTCCCCCACTTCCCCGGCGGCACTACTGGGCCATTAGCGGGTCATGTTACTGTGCAGAATGAGCCTGCAGACTGGAACCCTTCGCTTCTGTCAGAGCAGCAGCATCGATGTCGTATCCAGTGGGATGGACTGTGGTCCTGGAGATGAAGGCTTACTCCCGGCTCTTCTGGCTCCCGCCCCCCAACCCTGTGAGCGGCCGTCCTGGGGCTTACACAGCCTTGGAAGTGCTTACCAGCAGGGCCTGGCGGCCGAGGTTCTCAACCTGGAGGTCGAACGACCCTCTCCCAGGGGTCGGCCGATTCATCACAGTAGCAGCATGACAGTGATGAACAGCAGTGTAAATCATTTTGTGGTTGGGGGTCACCACAACACGAGGACTATATGAAAGCGGCCTGAGGAAGGCTGAGAAGCGCTGCATTAGGGGACTAGAACAGGGCAAGTGACCGTCCAGGCCCAGCAATGTGCTGGCCTCCCTCGGGACCTGAGCGGACGCAGACGCTCCCAATCCCCTGCCTTCCCAAGACTGGCCGGTCAACCATGGGGAGAAAACCTGGCAGGGAGCACCCTAGTGTACGCACCCCCCACACACACACCGAGACACCCCCCCACGCCTCTCTTCAGAGAGGGGCTCAAACCCCCCTCTGCTCCTTGCCCGCCCACTGTCACCCCAGCTGCTGCCATTTCCGCCTTCCTCTCACCTGCTGGCTGAACTACCTACCCGGTGATGAGGGCCAGCAGCCTCCTGACAAAGAGCAGAGGTTGCCCTGGGTCCCTGGCACACGCTCTTGGGATCCCAATGGGAGAATGGGCTGATTGTCTGTCTCCCAGCCTTCCCTATCAATCATTAATCTGGGTGCTGACCCAGTGCCCTGGTTGTGCGAGCCAGCCCTTCCACGGTACTTTCTGTTCCCCTGTGCCAACGCAGGTCACCCCACCCGCCTCAAGGCACACAGGAGGCCTGCTGTGGCCTTCTTGCCAGGCTGGGGGATGGACCCACCCCACGGGTTACCTGAAGTCAACCACCCAGGAATGGGCCGAGGACTTGTTTTGCTCAGAGTGTGCTGAAACCAAACAACAAGGCCGCCAGGAGCCACCTCACACTCCGTGGTGGTTCCAGTTATACTGAGAGCCAGGCCCTGAGCCCTGAGGTGAGGTGCTAAACCGGAGTAAAGGGAGAGGCGGAGATGCAGCGGGCGGCGGGGGACCTGAGCAGCGTGGGGCCCCTCTGGGCTGGGGGCTAAGGGCAGCCACGGCCCCAGCTGCCTCCACCGTAGCCACTAAAGACTGAGGAGCTGTTTCAAACTGCTTTCACAAACAACGGAGCCTCAACAGTGCAGAGTCACCGTCCGTGATCCAGCGAGACAAAGCTGGAAAGAAAGAAACGGTCCCAAAGGTTCATGGTTCTCTTCTCGGAGTGGGGACTGTTGGGTGCGTCTAGGTTTATTCTAGTTCTCCTGTGCTTTCCAAATTCTTACAGTGAGCATG